GATCCTACATCAAAGCAAGGCGGTCTCGAAGTGCATCTGGCAACAAGTTGCCGTCCACGTTCGTGCTCCGTTGCCGCCCGCCTGTGCCGTTCCCCAGAATGCCCAAGTCTACTCTACGCCGAACGCCGTTCGCATCCACCTCCCACATAAGGTTCTCGTTGAAGTCGATCCCCGTGTCCAAGAGGATGTTGTGGAGAGTGCACACGACCACGAATTGCTGTGACAAGGTCTCAAGGTTCGTCTTGTGGGTGCACAAAAACAGACGCCACATGCACTTCAGTCGCCCGAACGCCCTCTCCACACACCCCCGCGTCAGGACGTTGCTCGATTCCTTCGTACGGCTGGACGATCCATGGACAGGTAACTGGATATCCGTTGTCGCCCAGCAGGTAACCTCGCGTGACGACACCGTGCGGCAGATTCTCCAGAGGTGCGTCGAAAAGCTCGCCACTTTCTGCACGCCTTCACAGATGGGAATTGTGCAGGACATGGACGTCGTGCACACTTCCCGGGTACCCCACGTGGACGTCCAGGATACGCAGATCCAAATCCACCACCACCTGCGCTTGGACGGAGAACTTCTGTTTCCAATCGTAGTAGTTGTCGGAAGGTGTGCCTGCGGGCTTGTCAATGTAGATGTGCGTACAGTCGATTGCGCCAAAGCAGTTTGGGAAACCCTTCTCACGGAAAGCGCGCAGTATCTGCGCACGTCTCCGGCCCACTGGCCACTTGATCGCGTCAGGGTACGCCTTGAGCAGCGCTGAAGTGACTTCGCGGACGGCCTGCAATCCAGTTGCCCTGCCGATGCCGAAGGCCGATGTGCCGCTCTCGTACGTCTCTTCGGACACCCACCTGTACAACGCGAAAGTGATCACCTGCTCCACTGGCAATGGCATCCTGTAGTGTGTAACCTTCTTCTCCACGTACGCGGCGCAGGCGGCTACGATTTGGGTGAACATGGCCCTTGACATGCGCAACTTCTGGCGGTAGTACTCCTCGGTGGCATCATCACACAGTCGGAGGTCCTCCCATGTTCCGCCAGTGCGTCGTTTAATCCACCAACGCGGGGGTCTGCCGCGGGAAAATGCCAGACGACAGCGCGAAACACAACTGCACGACTGCTTCGCACGTCGCCACGCAATCCAGCGCTTCGACAACGCTCTGCAACAGCGCTCTTCGTTTACGGAGCTGCAAACGCATGTCGCGGGAGGACAACGACATGTCGCTCATCGTGTTGAGGACAACGGCAGTCACTGCCATCGCCACCGCCTCGCTCTCTTCTTCGCGCGGACCGTGTCCGCAGCTGCGAACGTCCATCTCCGATAATCGTTCCGCCTGTGCACCGTAACGCGTGTCCACAACCGCCGAAGATGCTCCACCACCTCAACACTGCCGCAGGAGACCACGCACGCCGGAGTCGAAGATGCGCCCGCTGCTCCACGCTGGCACAGGATACGACGCACGTCGGAGCCGAAGACGCGCCCGCTGACGAACAACGCTGCCACAGGAGAATACGCACGCCGGAGAGCAAGACGCGGCCGCTGCTCCACACTGCGACAGGAGAGTGTGCACGCGGCACGCTGTACCCGAAGATGCGCCCGCTGCTCTACGACGGTGGAAGACAGTACGCACGTCGGAGGTCAACATGCGCCCGCTGCTCTACGATGGTGGAAGACAGTCTGCGCGCCGGAGGTGAAGATGTGCCCGCTGCTCTACGATGGTGGAAGACAGTACGCGCGCTGGAGGTGAAGATGCGCCGCCCCCGAACATGCCACCGCTGGTCACCAGTCGCGCAGACTCCAAAGATGGATACCCACGCCGAAGGGTTCACCACCGTCGTCTTTTCTACGTCCCACGCGTCGCCTGCCCGCCCTCCGCCCTGCCACCCTGCGTCCGCCAAATTTCAAATTTGAATTTTCGAAGTCCCTCGGCTATGCGCGCATTTCACCGAAGAGCCCTACCCGCCGACGGCCCACCGCAGTGTGTACCACGGACACCAGCCAGGAATGGACGGACATCAGCGACGTGGCTGCATATACGCATATGAAAAGCGGCCGCAGGACACCTTTTAGGACGAATCCTAAAAGACAATTTTTAGGATTGCGTGTGACGACACCGCACAAAATCCTCAAAAACCTTTAGGACTCGTCCTAAAAATTTTAGGATTCTTTTAGGAGTGTCTAAAGAGACCCTTAGTGCCAAAAAAGGCGCTGTCCTTTGTTCAATGCACCTGCTTCACTGTTATTGGAAGTTTCTGGGGACATGCCATTCTGCACGACCTCTGCATGTCTAAGGGCCTCAGTTGGTACACCCATGGACTGTTGACATTTTTTATTTATTTATAACTAAGCTATATCCTTCTCTAAATCTATCCATGTACTCATCTTTCTCATCTTTCTCATCCTCTCGCTAGTCTATGTATGTATAGTACCGGGGGCTTGGTCCCACTTGCACGAATTAAGAAATACTGACCGTAGATAGCAAAGATCAACGGCCCAGATCTCCTAATTTGCGCAAGTGGGACCTTGCCCTGGGAACACCAACCAACCAACCCACCCGGATATCTCCCCAGCACACGGGGTAGGTTTGCACCACAGGAGTGTGGTATGCGAGCAAGGCTGTGCGAGCCCCTCGACACGGTGATGGGGGGGTGGGCAGGCATTGCCCATGGGGGAAACCGCCGGCGCCAGGTTAGGGGTCGTTGCAGCCACTGCCGAAAATTTAATGCAGACCATGGGGAGACTAGAGGTTATGTTTCTTTTTTTTGTCTTCTTTGTTTAAAAAAAAATATATTTAAAGCTGGGAAACAGACCCGGTGTGCCTTACAAAAGTTAACCAGTAAAAAAAAAAAAAAAGAAGAAGGAAAAAAAGTTAATCAGTGGGACCTCCTCCGAGAATTTCAAAGCGATCATCAGCCTAAGGCAGAGGGGGCCCACCGGGGGCAAGGTCCCACTTGCACAAATTAGGAGATTTGGGCCGTTGATCTTTGCTATCTACGGTCAGTATCTCTTAATTCGTGCAAGTGGGACCTGCCCCCGGGACAGCTTCGCTGTGTACAGCAATTCCTACTTGAAGTTTCGACATTTTTACTAGAGAATGTACACGACCCAGTCACCCAGGCAATAAAAAAAGGAGAAGAAACACTCCGAGGTCCCTACTGCAACAACTGGGGCGTGGTCCCACTAGCAAAGAGGATGGGATCGAATGCCTGAATATGGATGTAATTGTGGAGAGGTGCAGGAAATCGAGATTGAACTGCTTTTCTGCACATCTGCATAGAACACATCCAGATGCAGGAGCTTGATCCTATCCTCTTTGCTAGTGGGACCTCGGCCCTGATCTCTCGTTCCAAAGTTACCACTTTGCACCCGCCCATGATCCTTGTAATTTCCATGCTTACTGGGGAACTGCTTCCCCCAGAATATAAAGGGGCTGTGACTTCAAAAAAAAAAAAAAAAAAAAAAAAAAAAATGTAGACCAGAGTTTGAAACCAGATACCACCAGGGGCGTGGTCCCACCAGCAAAGAGGATTGGATCGAATGCCTGAATCTGGACGTGTTTGTCGAAAGGTGCAGGAAATCGAGATTGAACTGCTTTTCTGCATCTCTGCATAAAACACGTCCACATTCAGGCATTCGTTGTCCTCTTCTCCCTCTCTGCCCACGGTTTACCGGGCAGCTCTGTTTGATGATATATAAATGCCCCTTGTCTGTTGTCCTCTTCTCCCTCTCTGCCTACTGTTTACCGGGCAGCTCTGTTTGAAGATGTATGCATATATAGCCCCTCATTTGTTTTCCTCTTCTCCCTCGCTGCCTACAGTTATGTGGCAGTTCTGTTTGATGATACATATTCAGCCTCCTGATGACCTGGTGAAACTCCGACGAAACAGTCTGTCACAGCTATCCATCTGTTGTCCTCTTCTCCCTCTCTGCCCATGGATGACCGGGAAGGTCTGTTTGATGATGTATTAAGAAAAAAACATAGTCTAAGGTTCCTGTGTTAATCCCCTGTGCTTAACCTGTCCTACTGGGGTTCCTTGATGGCCTTAAGCCGGAACATTTTTGTTGTTGTTGTAAACAAACCTTACCAAAGCTTCCACCTTAATCGGGAGCATGGACGTGTCCATGTTTGAAGTTAGTCCATGATGGACACGTGCATGTGGCAAATTGAGGATGATGTTGTCTGTCACTTCCTTTTTCTTTCTGTTTTTCTGATGTAATTTTTCATTGCCAGGTTGGCATGGCAGGTCTGATTGCGGCCATGAGTGTTGTCACGTGGCATATAACGAATGTACGAACATCGGAAGCCATGCACGACCTTGCAATGAGCTACCAACGCCAGCTCTTTCGACGTTCAACCGATGAGTTCACAAGATCATTTCAAAGAAAGGTTCGCTTGTTGAATATATTCTTGACTCTTGTGCAAACAGATGCAATATTGATGCCAAATCAGAGCTTCGCGATGTTTCTAAGGAAGGTAATGATCCAGAAGTCATAACCCGACTACATCCCCTTCCCCCCCCCCCCCCCCCCCCCCCCACGCCACTACTATGGATGACAACCACCAATAAGAAGACGAAGAAGGAAGGATAACACTGAGAAGAAGAGGGAGAATAATGAGTAGATCAAGAAGAAGGCTGAGAAGAAGAAGGAACGAAGAAGAGCAGATGAAGAAGAGTGCTGGATAAAAGCAGGAGAATGATGAGTACAGCAAGAAGGCTGAGAGGAAGAAGAAGACAAAGAAAATGAAGAAGAACAAGAATACAGAGCTCCCCCTTGTTACAATCCAATATATGGGGGTCATTCACTTATAAATCTAACTGAACTGAAGAAGGACTTCGGTGTTCCAGCACATACCGAGATTACGAGGCTCATATTCAGAATCTAAGGATGCTTTTGTGGAATTTATCTTCATCTCTTGTGGTCCTTGCATCAGACCCCGCTGCTTCTAACTCGTTTCAGCCCCATTGCACCCCCACTCGGAATGACAATGCACCCTCTGGTTGTTTGATGGACTCCCTGACAGTCACCACAGATGCTTTGTCTTTGGAACACTGGGCAGAGTCAATGGAGTTATCAGGTCCAGAAATTCTTGATAGAGAGATTGGCGAGAGTGGAATGAACCTCTCCCCTTGTCGTGCGATCTGTTGAGCCAAAGGATGTCATGTCATTGTGCTAGATCGAGATCATTGTGCATATGATGCCGTTTATGTGTGTCGCCTCGCTTACAATTGCAATCTGTGTACTGTTTCTGTTTTGTACACATTGTCGGCTTGATAGAAGCCAAACACCGTGATGTTTGCCCAGAGGATGATAGCGCTGTGGATGGTGTGAACATGGAAGTGTTGTCCATGGTATTCATGAGAGGACGACCACAACTTGAGCCCCGCAGAATTATGCACATGACATCACTGACATGGAATCGAGTATTAGTGCGTATATTGTGCATCCCTGGGTTGATAATTCATGGGTGCTGCCCCATGACCGCAGTAGGGTGCGCTCGACGAGTAATATTACCTCTTACCATCACCAGGGTGCACCTGACGGGTAATATTTCCTCTTACTATCTATCACCAAGTGGCAGAGTCCTGTTTCACGCCAGATTGTTAGTTCGACGTGGCTCTTTGACGAGAGGAAAAATGGAACTAGTCCGAACACTGAAGTTCGATGGCAAAACTTGGACGAGACGGAATCACTTCCTTTTTCTTGCAGATCGAGCTAAACAGGCATTAGCTAAAATGGTTCTAGAACTCGAATATGAAGCCCATTTTGAGCACTTGGTCTGGCTTGTCAATCAGGAACAGTATGGGTGATGACAAGATCTGCAGCTTTTGGAGAATAATCCGGGTGACTCTTCTGCCTCCCCTCTAGTAGGCCAGTGTGGCATACTGCATTCCACATGGCCCGGGGCCCTACCAGGCCTGAACAAGTAGGAGTAGGGGTAGCAGGGGCTGTAGGTCCGTTTAGGCCCAGTTCGACCCTGTGTCGTTTCGTTCCAGTTATAGGGCCTGTAGGTCCGTAGGTCAGTAGGCCCCGTTTGGAAATTTGAAACGAGTTCGAATTTGGGCGCCAAGTTAGGCGCCAGATACTGGCGTCGTTCCGCACTGGTGAGAGCAGCCTTCCAGTCGGACCAGCGCTATATATAGCTGGTCCGCCGAGGCGTTTTTCTGGCATTTGCTCAGGTAGCAGAGGGGTACTTTTCGTAGAAGCAGCTGTAGTTTTGGGCATAGACCTACTCCAACCGCAGACGGATTTCCTTCTTCCTTGCCAGACTAATGACAGACGCAGCAGCCTGAAGAGGAAAATAGACTACCATATGAACCATCTACACAGCGCTGTACTGAAAGGTTATCACCACCAGGGGGAGCTCTTGCAGACCAAATCCTGCAGCTGCTAAGCACCCTTGCTTTGGATCAATCCCCGTCGTCGTCTGCCCATGAAGGGAATAAATGCTGGGGAAGCCAAAGAAACCTGCTCAATGCCACTCTGTGCTGACCCACCCAAGTTTTTGTCTTCATACATATGATCACAGTCAATACTGCACTCATGTACAGCACCCCGACATATCATGTCCAATTTGTAGACAAGGTCTGGAACAGCAATGCCTCTAGAATTGCGGTCGGTGTGCCTCTGCGTTTCTAGCATGTAGGAGCCACATAGCCTGTGACATATGTCTACGCCATGCCATTCGATACAGCAACTGTGACTGTGAGAATTGGATGCGGTGCTTCCACAGTCCACACCCGAACCAGTCCTGTCCGGTTTTGTAGGGGTGGCCACTTAGGCAACAGCTGCTCGTCAGCTCCAAATCCTCTGCAACCCAAATACTGACTGGCCCCTTGTGTCATTCTAGAGTTAGACTGCTGCAGCGGTTATTATTTAGAACCCTGTGAAGTTCGCCATATCTCTGTTCTGTCCATTGCCGCTCCACTTTCTCTCCTACCCCTTCTCCCTCCCCCGCCCCTCACTCCCACATGCACTCCCACATGCACTCATTCTCTTCCTGGGAAACAACTCCATTCAAAGGGCCTTGTGCTTGAAATATATTGAATAGTTGTAACAGTTGTTCTTTTTTTTTTATAATGATTTTATCATTTCTTTTTAAAAATTTTAAAACAGGTCCTTATGGCCCTGGCTCCATTTCCGTTCTGGGGAGCATCAGTCCGGTTCCTATTCCACCGGCAAGTCAGGAAAGATAATTACATCATAAGACACCCTCATGCTTCCTTCCGTCTGGCCGAAGGAACCCTGATCAGCATTGATTGCTCCAACATCGTGGAGGATTGACTGTCAGCTTGCCCTGCTTCCACCTTTCCTCTCAGGACTACTAAAAGAACCTTTCAAATACAACATGAAAAGCAAGAAAGGTCTGAGAAGCTACAATTGCTACCAATCTGTCTAAACCCCAAACCCTGCATATGAGCCTCGTAAAATCCCTGGCATTCTTTTTTTTTAACCCTTAAACCCTAAACCCTTGAGTGGCTCCCGGCTGGCTAACCCCTTTAACCCTAGCCCCTCCCCTATTCGTTCAAGTGCTGTACCTTCTCTACTAGCCTTCCATTGACAGTGACCTGTAAATTGTGGTCCATAGCCACTTATGTGTTCTCACTTCCAGATCATAACTTATACGGTACCTATCCTTCCGTTAATGAGAATAACATCTGTTCCGTCCTCAACCCGGGTATCTGGTAATTCTATACTCTCGTCAATTTCCCCTATCCTGGCCTTAGATTTCAGTCTTGCCCCACCTCTTGCGTCTTCAACCTTTGGTCCCTTGCCTTCGAATTTCGTTATGGGTTTCTGTCTTTCTATGTATCCTTAGGCCCTTCTGATTGCTTGTTCTGCCTGAGACAGTCTTCGCTGCATCTGGGTGTGAGCGAAGTCTCCTCCTCCTAGTCCCCACTTTAGAAGTCCTTTAGCCATGTCTTTGCTCTCGTACCTGGTGCCTGGTACCTGATGTGGCACCTTTCTCACTTCAGCTCATCAGCCCATCCGCTGCAGGTGTGGTCTGGGCCCTCCGGCCTGCTCATCAGTCTTTCCAGCACACTCGGTCATTGCATAACTCAGCCACCTTACCATTCACCAGCCACTGTCTGGTAAACTTCTTGCTAACCTTTTCCTGCTGGTCCTCGTCCTCAGGCATCGACGGCCTTAACCTCTGCCATCTGCAGAGAATTTCAGCCTGTAGCATAGATCCTGTCTCCATCCATACCTTCTCTCTTGGGTTGGACAGTCCTTCGATAGTCCTGGAGCATCTTTCCTTCCAAATGATCCATAGAGTCACTTTCCTGATCAGTCCGAACCACAACCTCTCTGTCTTCTGAAGATGATCGGGGATGTTAGTCCAGATGAGGATTTGGATGGGGTGCTTGGGGAAGGGGGCATGGAAGAGGGAGTCCCAGAGGGCTAAGGCCCGTGCCCAGTAATCTGTCGCCTCGCTACATTGGATTAGGCAGTGGACTATGTCTTCTTGAGCCTCTTCTGTACAGACTATGCATAGGTCCGAACTGGTGGGATCGTTTTTTTGGCGTCTTATATGTAACCATTGATTCACGGGCAGTGCTGCGTACGTAATGAGCCACTGAAGGCTCCTGTTTTTTATTTTTTTTATTTTTTAAACAAACAGGCCCTTATGGTCCTGGCTCCATATCCATTCTGGGGAGCGTCAGTCCGGTTACTTTTCCCCCGGCAAGTCAAAACTCGTTCTTTTTTCTTTTTTTGCAAAGCATGGAACGCTTAGCAGGGACAACTCCCAGGTTGCCACTCCACACTCAGAGTGGAAAGTTCAGTCTCTTGCCATGCTCAAGCCTCCAATTCTTTCTGTGAGCCCTCAGCTCTACCACTCCAAAAATGCAGTTTATAATACTTCATATTTAGCGATAACAAAGACAGCCATAAACAGATGCTCCATTGGTCTACATCACTTAATTTAACTTAGAAACAAGCGTGGCCGTGTCACGTTTTGAGTTTTAAAAGGGCAAAAAAAACACGCGCAGGCAACAGAATCAGGCACCGAGTTTGCAAGGGAATTTCGGTAAAAATAGCGGTAGTTGTTTTATGGCCATTGTTGAACTCCGGCTGTCTGCACACCAGGACCCGACACTGTAGTTATGACATCTGCGCTTTTTTCGTACTGTCGCGATGCTTTTGTTGCCTTTTTGAACTTGGTGCCTGATTTTGTTGCCTGCACGTGTTCTTTTGCCCTTCCGACACTCATTCTTGACAATAACCGAACTTGGACATGTATATGTTCTTGTCCTCTGAATGGCGCAGGTACAGGCAACTAGTTGGAATATCCTGAAGCTTTCTCCTGAGCTCCTTAGCATTGGGATGCAGAGTATGGATGGACCTGGATATCTTCATCGGCGTGAGGAGATTATCCCGACTTATGGCGCTGCTAGTTCTGTGTCATCACAAACAGAAGCCTCAGGCATTGACACTAATGGGTCCACCGGATTGGGTTATATGGACAATATGGGACCTGAAAAGTATTTCTTTCGGTTCTATAATTTAAATGGAACTATGGACCCAACAAACAGCTCTATTCCGGCCAGATACTACTGCAATGTAACAAATATGATGGAGGGCACCTGCAGCGCCCCGCTGGAGCTTGTCAAGGCTCGGTATCCTATCAGACTCTTGGATGACAGGACACTACCACACATCACCAACGCTGCCAAATGGCCCGGAACCAGCCAATGGGACATAACGATCGGGTCCTTGTGTGAGTGCTCCTGCCTCCCATGCACCTTCATTGGCCCTGATGATGATCTGTATGTTTTGTGTACAACATGTACTCAAAGTGCACACATGTGCCGCACAGCATTCGTGGATATGTGTACAGGTGCAAGCATCGAAACCTCGCCCCTATACCACCTAGCACTCAGCACTACTTTCTGATCGGAGTTAAGGCCAGGGCCTGCAATGCTTAAAGTGGGTGTGCCAATGATTTTAGGAATGGGGTTTGGAGTTCTAGGTCAAAACTTGAATCTCCGTGCATCCGTGCCAACAAAATTCCTAAGTAGGAGGGTTGCACTGTCAAGAAAAATGTACATTCAAGAAGGAAAAGGCACACTTAATTGAATGAAAAGGGAAGAAAGCAAAGAAAAAGGAATTGATCAGAGCACCAACCAGTTCAAATTTGTGAAAGAGAAAAACTGTATAAAGAGAAAAAGGAGTCGATGTGAGCGCTAACGACTTCAGAATTTGAAAAGAGCAAAACTCTATGCCGAACGCCGTGCCTTATGCTTTACAGTGGGAATCAAGCTCAGGAGACAAGGGATGCAATCACACTAATCCTTGTTTGTGGTTTATCCTCCATAATCGGCATAAGAAAAGTCCCTTGTGGTGACATTCCACCTCAAAAAGACCACAAACATAAAATAAAACAGACCCCAAATACAGGCTCGAGAAAGCAACGAAGAGGGACTGGTCCAAACGAAGCCAGGCCCCCTACACCCTACTGGACTGCTTTGCTGCGAATATGGTGAAAAATCATGCCAAAGAGCGTGGGCAGACCCAAGTCCAAAGAGAAAGTCTTCAGACAATTCCTCTTTGGGAATTCTTAGGTGAGGGACGAAGGTGATCACCCACTCTCTCGTAAGCCAAAGCGGAGGAGATGGTTTTCATTGATCAGTCACGGAGTATGGAAAATGAGCCATATTTGGGCTGATGAGAAAAAGAATTGGCTTTCAGAACAGGAGCTTGCTTGCCACCTCAAGGGACACCACCGACGAGATGAAAACTTACAAAGTATAACCAAATGTATCCTCGAAGGCTGGAAAGAGCAGCTGAGAGAAGCCCCCCAATGGAAATCTAGGGAGTGGGGACTGCTGGTCCAGGAAACAACACCCACAAGCAGCAGGGATCAGACTCCCTGGCTGTGTTCACCTCCTTTCCAATTACCTCCACCGAATTCTGAATAATGTGGCAAAAGCTGTTGATGAAGCCCATGCTTATGTCGTTTGCCATACTCACACGTATTTGCGCTGCAGTGCCCTGAACATGGTTATTCTAGGGCCTTGTTGTGGCCAATGGACAATCGATTCAGGCCCAGACACCCTTTCCGTTTCTCAGATTCTCCAACATCTTCGCTTTGTTTTACAAAACACTTTTCTGGACACCAGAGATGGCACACTTGGGAAGCAATTATTGGTATTCCAATGGGAAGAAATGCTGGTCCAGAAATTTTTAATCTGAAGTTGTATTCGGATGAAGTACGCTTTGTTAATGAGATTCGTCAACATGATCTTCAAGCCGCTCAGCAATACGCCTTCACTTATCGCCTCATTGATGATGTTCTTTCATGGAGGCAAGTACCTCCTCCAGAGCCCTATGGGCTTGAGTTGAAGGAAACTACAGCGACAGATGGATCGTGTACCTTCTTAGGTATGCATCTACGGGTCCGTTCTGATGGCTCGCTTCACATGAGCGTGTTTGATAAAGCGGCTGCTTCGGATGTCCCTGTCATTCGTTATACAAGTGTGACCTCCAACATCCCATCCCATCAAACGGTGGGTGTGTTCATTGGACAATTGACCAGATGTGAACAAATTTGTAACAATGTTGCTATCCTACACATGTGACGCGTCTCTCTCAATGGTTCCGACGCATGCTGCATTGGTCCCTGCATCATCCACTTTCTTCTTTGCCTCCATGTCACTCTTGTCCTGCTCCTGCTTGCTCATCTGCTGCTGCTGCAGTTTCCACTGCTGCAGTTTCCACTACTGCAGTTTCCACCATTGCAGTTTTTACAGCTTCGTTGTTGTTGTTGTTGTTTTTTTTTTTTTTTTTTTTTTTTTTTTTTTTTTTTTT